TATGAGAGCTCTAAGAGTGTGAGAGAGAAACATAGAGATATAGAAAGAGGGAGAGAGAGAGAGAGAGAGAGAGAGAAAGACAGAGAAAGAGACAAAGAAAGTGAGAGATGCAGAGAGGTAGAGAAATCGGCTGAAGTTGTAAATGCCTTTACGTATGAAATAACACAATTTGCTGATAATATGTAAACGTGTAAAAATAAAAGTGGCTCGCCATCTTAGCAAAATGTGATTTTGTTTCCTTTGATGTGTTGCTTTTAACTGTGTTTCTGTAGGGGGCGCGGTATACGATACTAAGAAATGAATTTTTTTTTCAATGTTTCCAAATCAAGGCTCAACTAGACACGGAACAAGCTGGTGTGGAAGTTCATTGATTTAGTTACTCGACTTGAAATGCTACAAGATAGCACTTCAGACGTAATCTATTACATGTATACATGTTATATTTTGGAAAGTTCGTCACTTTCGCTGTCTAATACTTCTGAACCACTTAACTTTTGAATTTGACCAAATTAATGATGGTTCAGAATCATTTAAAGGGTGCACAGTTTCATTGAGGAGCCTGAAGTCACTGAAGTTTAATTTTCAGTTTTTCATTAGTTTCGTTCAGATCTAATCTTGGGGAATTCAGTCTTCTTAGATGTCATTGTAAAAAGCAAGGGAGGTTTCCGTTTACTAGCCGTGCGCACCGTTCCACACCTTTGAAATTATTGAGTGTACTTTTGTACGGACCAGTCCGACGGATCTCCAACCAGATTATGATGGAGACTATCAGCAGACAGATTCTGGGATGGATCCTGAAGAGGGGGGGGGGGGGGGGAGCAGAGATGGACATGTTCCGACTGCAGTGACCCCAACACCGTGGACAAGTAAGACAAGTTAGACAACCACAAAGCGGAATAGAGAGAGAGAATCAATCTATACATCTATTATTAGTATTATATATTAATTGGCAATTTGGAAATACATGACATGTGTCACTTTTCTCTCAAGATTTGTTGCTTCATTCCAGTAGAGTGTACATATAGTAGGCCAATGACTTCAGTTGCTGTTATTTATCTACCGATAATTCCTTTCATCGAAAAGGGGCCCAGCTAGTGCGATATATCCAACATTTCTGAAACCAGACTAAAAAGGTTTTTATTTAACCGGCGTTTGTGGTGTAGCAGTAAGGCGATTGCGCAGAAGACTTTCGGATCCCATGTGGGGGGATAACTTAAAATCGAGTATTTCAGTGTTTCTGCTGGGGCGTTGTATCCTCTCAGCCCATGTTGGCCCTGATAGGCAGGATCGAAGCCTGCCTCATATATGGTCGAAATTG